ATGTCCTTTTTGACGTAAATTTGAAAAAACAGGTTTGAGTAAATTTTCTTGGGCAGATGGCTAGGCTGTTAGGAAAACAGACAAATTTATATAGTTGCCCTCTACACCAAAATTTGAGGAATTTTTGATATGCTGGATGAATAGGTACGGAATAGTAAGCATCTTTGAGATCGATGGATGCCATGAAACAATTTGGTTTCATAAGCCTAATAGCTGACCAAACACACTCCATTTTAAAATGGTGATATCTGACATGCCTGTTTAAGGATTTTGGATTAAGAATCATGCGAAAAGAACCGTCTTTTTTGGGACAAGTGAAAATTGGAGATACAAATTCCCTGATTCAGGATGAGAAATCTGCAAAACGTCTTTTTTGCGTAATTTGCTAATTTCTAAATCAATATTGTTAATTTCAACCTCGGGTAGCTGTATTTGCTTGGGTAAGGCTCTTTATATCGGAATTGTGTCAAATTCAATTTTTTGTCCAGACACTGTCTCTAAGATTTCCTTATCAGAGGTGAGTGTTTCCCATGCACTTAAAAAAATTGATATGCTGCCAGCCTGATAGTTCTCCAAGCTTTTATTCAAATACGCTATTAGCGTGGGTACAAAAGAAGAATACTGGTTTACCTGTAAAGTCTTAAAATTTCTTAAAAATTCAGTGTTTCTACTTGCGATTATTCATTGTGTCCGATCGTTTCTTCCTGAATAATTAATTATTAAAATTTTTAATATGATGGGTTTTTTAAACTTTGTTCTAACTTATTTTTCATTTTGACTATAGCTTTTTGCCACCTTTCATGATGTCGTCCTTGCCTCACCTTGTCAAGGTAGTTAGACATCTAGAAGATTGGGCTCTAAATCATTAGTCATGCATTGTAAGTAGTTTTCCTCGAAGACAAATTGCAAGTTATTACTTATTCTGCATTGAATTGGCAATCGCATCTCCTTAAGTTACCTAATTATAAGGACATTTCTTTGACGATGATATTTCTCTATTTAACTCATTATTGAAGATAAACATGATCTGATTACAAAGAACTTTAATTACCATTGCTGTTTGTTGCCATTAGAATAGTGCAATTGTTAAACTGTTTTTCCTAATCACTATTAATTTTAAACATTGTCATAAACAATTTGGTTTTGTGAAATTTATTAAAATAGTGACGTTTCGTCTTGATTCAAGATATCTTCAGATTAATAAGGAAGTTAACAAGAATTATAGATATATATAGAGTTATTTACATATATAGAGTCATTTACATTTATATATCTATACAGCTGGTTTTACTTTTTCCTTAAAGATGCTCAAATTGAATTTCATACTAAAATGGCTGTATAGATGCTTTTGAGCATCTAAAAGTATTATTGAACAAGAAAGCAGAAGTTGCTCTCTAGTAACATGTCTATTCTCAATCTATACATTAGCCAAAAGCGCTGTCCGAGAGATGCTCTTAGGTCTTATTCAAACATGACTGGAGTTTAGTCATTTACGCTGCTCTTCGGTTAGTTTAAGCTGTCTTTCCACTTTACCAAAAATAATAAGTCTTTAGATGTTTGTTTGTTGGAAATTTGATATTGCAACAGAGTGCTTCCGTCGAATAAGTTGTTAAATAAGAATATGTCGTGTTATCCTTTAATGTTTTAGCTTATGCTTAATAGACCATACGCCCCTGAAGAAGTCAGTTAAATTTTCTACAAACTGTAGACAGTAAAACTATAGGTATAAACTCTATTTAAATATATCATCTGGTCAACGTTTTGCATAGAACGCCAAGATACGCACAGCTGTTGAGCACAATGCGTAACAACACTCACGTAGGGTCGGCACGAGATCATGGTCAACTAACGTACTCGCCCACATATTATTCTTAATATGTCATCGGTAATAATAAGTCAGGTCAGGCTCTTAATCCTGCTATGAGTAAAAATGTAACCTCGTACTACCTGCCGCATAGCCCTGCATCCCTGTGCCTCAGGGATGCAGGCAACTCACCAATCCGCACTGAACCAGCGTGGTGAGTCATGGTTCACACCCACAAAATGGACACACTCAACACACAATGGCCCTCAGTCCCCGGCAGCCGAAAGGCAGAGGGTGCTAAGAATCCCCGGGTTTCCAAAGTGCAGCTGAATGTTTGCACTTACAACGTGAGAACATTGAAAGATCCAGAGAAAGAGGAGGAATTGGAGCAAGAGCTGACAGGTTTCAAGTGGGACATCATTGGACTGTCAGAAACAAGAAAGAAAGGAGAGCAGCTGAAGCAGTTGCAAAGTGGGCATGTACTGTACACAAAAGGAGGGAATGAATCTGTCAGAGGAGTTGGGTTTCTGGTTCACAAGAACATCAAGGACCGAGTTGTAGAGTACGAAGGAGAGAGTAGCAGAGTGACATCGCTTACACTGAAAGTGAACAGCAAATACCAACTACAAGTGATACAAGTGTATGCACCAACATCAAGTCACAGCGACGAAGAAGTTGAAGAGTTGTATGAAGAGATTGAAAGATCAATGGATAACAACAGAAGTCAATTTAAGATCGTAATGGGCGACTTCAACGCAAAGGTTGGAAAACACCATAGAAGCGACGGAGCAACGGTCGGGAATTTTGGCCTAGGAGAAAGAAATGAAAGAGGAACCAGACTGGTGCAATTTGCAAAATCAAAAGGCTTGAAAATCGCGAACACTTATTACAGAAAAAGAAAGACCAGAAAGTGGACATGGAGAAGTCCAAATGGAGAAATAAGGAATGAGATCGATTACATACTGGCAAACAAGAGCATGATCCAGAATGTTAACGTGATCACAAGAGTAAACATCGGCAGTGATCACAGAATGATCAGAAGCAAGATCAAGATGAATGTAAGATTGGAGAGAATGGAAATGATGAGGCCGAAGGGTGCGAAGGTCAACATCAACACCAACGCGTTGAAGCTAAAAGAGACTGAATTCCGACTGAAGTTGCAGAACCGCTTCGAAACCTTACAAGAAGACAGTGTGGAGGAAATGGCCCTTAACATCACAAAGACTATCAAAGAATGTGCCATGGAAACAGCTGGAAGAGTTGAAAGACGACAAGAGGAAAATCTCAAGCCTGAAACAAAAGAACTGTTGAAAGAGAGAAGAGAAATGGCAAAGAGAGATCTGAATGACCAGGAGAGAAGAGAGTACAATAAACTTTGTAAGACCATCAGGAAGAGAATGAGAGAAGACCTCAGAGAGCACAACACCATGCGAGTGAAGGAAGCAATTGAGAGTGGGAAAGGATTGAAGAGAGCTAAAGAGAAAGAAGGCTGCAAGGTTCTTATACCAACTTTAGAGGAACAAGATGGAACCGTCATCAATAACAGGGAGAGAATTCTGGAGAGGTGCGCAGAATTTTATGAAAACTTATACCAAGATGCAGCCCAGAACATCAGAAAAGAAGAGGCAGAGGATGTTCCACCGATCCTTGACAGTGAAATTGAGCACGCAATGAAAAGTATGAAGAACAACAAAGCACCAGGAGAAGATCAGGTTGTGATTGAAATGCTAAGAGCAGGAGGCGAAGTGGTCAGATCGAAGCTGAGGACGCTCTTCAATAGAGTGATGACTGAAGAAATAGTGCCAAATGGGTGGAAAAATGCCATCATCACACTCATATTTAAGAAGGGAGACAAGAAAAACCTCGCAAACTACAGACCAATCAGCTTACTCTCTCAAGTCTACAAACTCTTCATGAAGATCTTGAAAAATAGATTAAACAACACCCTTAGTGACCACCAACCACCAGAACAAGCAGCCTACAGAAGAGGTCATTCCACCATCGACCATCTGCAGTCAGTTGTGCAAATACTCGAGAAAACCAATGAGTATAAAATACCCATCCACATGGCATTTGTAGACTATGAAAAAGCCTTTGACTCCATCCAGCATAAGGCTGTCTTTGAGGCGTTAAACCAGCACAGCGTACAGGAAAAGTACATCAACATCTTAAAAGAAACATATAATGGAAGCACAGCTCAGATTCGAACTGAATCAAATAGCCGAAAAATCAAGATCATGAAGGGAGTGAGGCAAGGAGACACCTTGTCACCAGTGATGTTTACAGCAGCGCTGGAAGAAATATTCAGTAGAATGGAAGTTGAAGTGGGAATTAACATCAATGGAGAGAGGATGGAGATTTGCAGATGATATCATCTTATTTGCTGAAAAGGAAGAACACCTCAGCAAACTTTTGAACGATCTGAACGAAGAAGGGAGGAAAGATGGAATGAAAATGAACAAAAAGAAGACAAAGATCATGTGCAATGAAATAGCAAAGAAAAGGAGAAGAAAAGGAATATCGATTGATGGAGAACGGCTGGAAGAGGTTGAAGAGTACAAGTATTTGGGAAGACTACTAACACCAGGAAATGAGATGGCGAGAGAAATAGATGAGAGAATAACATCAGCTTGGAAGAGATTTGGACAGTACAGCATGTTCATGAGAGATCAAAGAATGCCCATGTGTCTCAAAAGGAAGATCATGGACACTGTCATACTACCAGCAATGACTTATGGAGCAGAGACGTGGGCACTTACCAACCATCAAAGAGAGAAACTGGCAATCACCCAAAGAAGTATGGAAAGATCAATGCTCGGTGTCACGAGGAGAGATAAGATCCGGAATGAAGACCTGAGAGCAAGAACAAAAGTGAAGGATGTCATCGAGAAAGTTAATAAAGCCAAAGGAAAGTGGGCAGGACATCTAGCCCGAATGAAAAATCATGAATGGGCAAAGAAAACAACCGAATGGACCCCGTGGGACAAGAAAAAAGGCAAGGGAAGACCAAAAAGGAGATGGAGAGATGACATCGAGCAGAGAGCGGGCAGCATGTGGACCCAGAGAGCCCAAGACCGTAAAGAGTGGAGAAAGATGTGGAGGCCATCCGCCAGCAGTGGCGTGACAGGCTGATGATGATGATGATGATGATGTCAGCGGTAAGTAACAATTGTCGAATAATCATGTATATGTAATTACCAATGGTAATTACCTATAAGCTGTGACAAACCACTAAAATATAGAATAACCATTGAGAATAACAAGTTTCATATGCGTATTTAACCGATATGCGGCTAAATGACGAGAAGAATTCTTTTTTCGATTTCAGGTTTGGACAGTTTTACTTTTTTACACATTTATTGTTTTGTATTCTTTGTATTTTACATATATTGTCATATGCTCAACGATTTTAAATCATCATAACGATACTCGATGAAGCAATGAACAATATACAATGAACGTAACAGTGGCGTATCCAGCCCGTTTTATTTAGCTCTGCTATACAATTATTTCTTTGTTCACTAACTGTAAAAACAACAGATTTCTAAAGAAATGTTTAATGATAATAATATCAAATTTACATACCACGACCAAATTATCTTCCGGGCGCGCTACACAACTGTGTAAAATTTATAAGGTAAATTTATTATTTCTACATTATCTAGACTGTTTTAGTTATATGTCCCCAGTTAGTTGTAAAAATAAATACCATGTCCATGATTCACAAATAGAAAATGTTAATTTTGTTTAATACTATTTACAGATAAATACATACATAATTTGTCAAGGGGCTCCAATTTGAGCAATTACAGTGTAGAAGTTTGCAAGCAAAAGTGAAGCGATACATGATTATTTTTATGTTAGATGCTTACAATTACTATATTCTCACAGAATATAATTTTTTGAATGGCAGGTTTGCATTGCATTCTCAATGTGGGGAAACATCTCGATTTTTTGTTCTTCAAAGCATTTGACCAGATGCACTTGCATCTTCTTCTGCAGCCAGGTAACAGAGCAAGGGTTAACAGCATTTGCCACAACAAAAAGACCACAATCTGATGATCCTTTTTGATGTTGTTGGAGAATCACTTTGACGTTTAAAGAACCATCCTGTTCTTGAAGGTTTTTGTAAACATTCTGGAGTTGCCTTTTTAATGATGAATTCAGGTTGGTACTCATAGATTCAAAGACTACTATTTCACCAGTTATGGATGTAGAAACCACCCAGTGGTGACCAATATTGTGACATTGAATTGCTTGGGTGATATTTTCCGGAATATTTATGAGTTTGCTAATGTATGTGACTGCTACGACTGTGTTTAGACCTCCCTCTCCGGTACCAAGATCACCTATTAATTTCTGTGCTGCATCAATATGGTCATCTGAAATCCATCCATTTAGATTTAGAAGCACGTCTTTCTGAGCATATGACAACGTTATTCCTTGAATATCTACCCAACACTCCTCAGAATTTTCAATTTTCTCATTGTTCTTCATTTTCATCTTTTTTGCTAGTTGCTCTTCTATTACTTGTAATTTGCATTTCTCATGCTTCTCTTCTTTTTCAAGCTTCTCTTCAAATACTTCAATCTTTTCACTTTCTGCTCTTCCCACTTGTTTACTTGGACACCTCTTGCATTTTTGTTTTGGCAAAGCAGATTGTGACCTACACTTTGAAATTTGTTTCTTTTTTGGAGATAAAGACTTGTTTCTCAATGAAATTCCATTTTCCTCAAGATGATTTTTTCTTGTGTATTGTATTACCTCTTGTAACATCTCCTGGGTTTTGTCCAAAACTTTCTCATCATCCAAAATGTAAAGCTCATCCTGAATTTGTTTGACTTTTTGAACACACTTATTTCTAACATTTTGGATTGAGTTGGAGTAATAATCTGTTGTGGTAAGAAAACAGTCAGAAGAATGAGCTTTTTCATAATTAGGACATTGCGCAAAGTTTCCTGGCAGTGACTTGTGTTTGATATCAGTCCGAGTTTGGCTTATATTGGCTTTTGGTTGAATTATATGGGGATCTAAAGTAAATAGGGGATGATTGGAAAACTTCCCAACATTTGGTTGTTGAAAAACAGCACAGATGTGTTTACAAGGCATCTTCCGACTCCTGTAATCAAGACATTGGCAGGAAGGCATTTGGTTGTTTGATCCCAGAAAACTTTATATGTGGATGATGAGCTTGTGACAGTGAAATGTTTTCTCGTTTCCATCTTGATGTTTTTACTTGGAATTTCAGATTCCATCCGTTGAATAATATGAGAAACAACATACTTTGGTCTATTGTGCAGGAACTTTGGGATTTGTTTGCTGTAGGACTTGTACGAATCGGATGATTTGATATTCTGTTCCTTATATCTATAAAGAGAAAATTGTAAGTACACTTATACTTTTTTGATTATCGTTAAAGCTCACTGATTGCGAACATCTTATAAAAAAAAACAGTATGCACAATACTTTTTGTAGCTATCAGGCAGGAACTGTGTTAGTAATATATTGACGAGATCACTTATCGAATGATTTCGTCTGTCCTCTAAATATGAATGCTTTAACCAGTTATTTTACCTTTCCACTCCGTTGTTTGTATAAATGGCAACGCGCAACGATTCATCCCTGTAAAAATGGACCCATTTCTTGAAAAGTAATGTATATATTTATATAAACACACATAGGTTGGATAGGTAGTATCAGTTTTGAGCAGTTTAGCGTACTGATATTAAAACGCATAAAATAGAAGAGATTAATACTTGCAAGTGTAATCCCAAAAATTCATCAAAGTATTTCTGCAGTTGCAGCGATTCTTTCCACAGATGGCTGTTTTTCAATGATTCAATGTTTTCTGTAATGCGATTTGACTTGTGCTATTTGCAATATTTCGCAGCAGTTGTAATAGCTCATGTTTGTAAAGATACGTTCCATTACTGCGCTTAATCCATTCGTTCCACGCCTTCTCTCGATGAAAATCGCAAAAACATTTTCTTCAAAAACATTTTCTTCAAAAAAGGCTATTGCTTTGTTTCGTCTTACTTGGAATACACTGTTTGATTGCTCCAATTTCAGCTAATGAAAAATCAACCATTATGTTTTTAGGTTTCCACAGTGGATTCTCTTGACTGATGATGTTCAGGACTTCTGATATGGAATCCATGTCCTAATTTTGGGATATGAAGACAGCAACAACGATGTAACAAACATTTGATCGGACACATAAGAAAAACAACGGTAGTGCGTACCTCAAAAGACGCGAATTGGAAAACTTTAAAACATTAACTTTCCAAGTGACAACAATTGGAAACTCTATTTTCGAACTAGCATTTGGCAACAATTCCATGATGATTTCCCGCGCTTTTTATGTTTAGATTCTCATAGAATATATGTATGGCAAGTTTCAATTTTACAATGTAGGAAAATGTGAATTTTTTGTTGCTCGAAAAACATTTAGCCAAATGCATTGTATCTTCTCATATGACCATAAAATCAAGAAATGGTGCATTCAATGCTGTTAGGGAGGTGGGTGCATGGAAATCAAGCATTCTTCATGAAATTATGGATAGTCATTGCAGAGCACAGAGCACCCCAACCTGACAAAGATTTTTAGTTTACAAAATTGATAAAGAAACTTGTTCATGTTAAGTGGTAATATTATTTGCAAACACTATGACATCATGCAATGACTTTTTACAATTACATTACACTATTTGAGAGAGTTGCATCTAAGGCAAGTTATGTTCTACAGCACTGGATCTATGCCACAAGCATAACAAAAGCAGGTGGGAGCCTTTTAAACTGTTCGAAAAATCCTTTGACAATGGAAGGAATTATATGCTCAAAGGTTTTTCTGAACAATCTGTTTTTCCATAATAGAATTTATTTTGGTGCTCAGAGATTCAATGTGAAAATTTTTGCCAGAGATGAATGTAGAGAATAGCCAGTGTTACATGTTAAGATATATTGTTACCATTTCTTGTTGTAAAGTATTTTCAGGAACATATGAATTAGCTACTGTGATTGACATCACAACTTTACATTGGATATGGCTGCACCTCTACTATGATCACCTATCAATTTTTCGTGGTAAATCAATATGCTCATTTGAAAACCATCCATTTCATTTAATGAGCACTTAAGTTAGATTCTGGTTCACTGTGTGGATGGCACCGCTGAAGACAATGAGTTTTCAAAATTTCCTGACAATAACTTTAACAAAGTTAAAAAAGTTACCACACCTGTGCATTAACTCAAATCAGAAAATTACAAGCAAGTATGGACAAACAGTCAAACACATTGAACACACAAACTTTATATTATTGAGCAGGAAGTTTGGAAAAAGAATTTGAAGATACGAATCTAGATGGGTGTGTTATCATGTATGTTGTATCTATAATAATTTTTATTAGTACTACAATTAACAGGAAAATATTTAATATCATATCTATAATACAAATAGAGTCCATTTCTACTTTATAACATTACATTGTTCTCCTTAGGTCCAGTAAATCTGCAATTTTCGAAGTGCGGTTATTATATTGTAAAGTACTATCAATCCATTACTTCTGCAAGGCAGACATTTTAAAGAAAGCACATCTAACCAAAATTGAATTGAAATATTTGTAATCTCTTCTCGCTTTCTCTATTGCCAATTTGCCTTATTGCCATATGTAAACGCAATATGTAGTGCGGTAAAATCATTCGTATAATGAAACATGAATATTCGTCAATTGTTACTTACCGCTGACATAATAAGAATAATATGTGGGCGCGTACGTTAGTTGACCATGATCTAGTTGCCGACCCTCACGTAGGCTTTAGCGCATGGTCTCTATTTCCTTAAACACTCCAAGTTTCATTAACATCACAACCATTCGTAGATCGTTCGTAAAAAGCTTTCTCGTCCTTTTCATGATATTTCAGAAAACCCAAAGATGGCTTTATTCCAAAACAATGTAGCAGTGTTGCTGTTATATGTTGCGCTGATTGAGAGCTGTGCGAGTGCACCCGAGAATTGTACAAGGGATATAAAATGTAAGTAATAAGATATTCTTATTAGGTCTATCCTTATTTAGCTTTATTCTCAACATGTTCGGCAAATCAACTGCTCAACAAAGAGCTGTATAATTTAAAAATTAAACGAGACTTACCTGTAAGTTGAAGTTTGATTGTAATTCTATGAGTTATTGGACAAGGAAACTAAGGAGTTATGTGAGATATGCGCACGCAGATCGAGGAATCAGTTTTCAACGCTGCGAGTGATTTCAACAGCATTCACCATATAGGGCGGGTGCAATAAGATTTTTTACACTAAACATCCCTCCAATATAATGGGTGACTCCTTAGTTTCCTTGTCCAATAACTCATAGAATTACAATCAAACTTCAACTTACAGGTAAGTCTCGTTTAATTTTTAAATTCTATTTCGTCATTGGACTACGTCACTAAGGAGTCATGTGAGATATTCAAAGTGTTGTGATCACGAGCTTTAACATAATCCCAAATGTATTGACAATTTTTTCAACAACACATATAACTATACTTCTCACTATTAAAAAATTTGTGCTTAGTCATTGGAAGCATTTAATAATGAACAACCGAAGTCGGCTTTTGTTTTTAATGGCTTATTATAATATTTTTGAAATGTTGAAGCATTAGACCACCCAGCTGCTTCCATAATTGCTTCAATTGATATGGATGCTTTGTTTGCAGCTGACGAGGATGCTGCTCTTGTGCTGTAGCCAGAAAAATCATTTATTCCGCCAGCTTTAAGATTGTTTTAAGCCATCTCGAGATAGTGTCCGTGCTTGCTACATTAAAGGGTTTTTGGAAACAAATTAACAACTGTTTGGAATTACTTCTAATAGTTTTTGTTCTTTCAATGTACTCAGTAAGGAGTTTGAACGGACAAAGTGTTGCATCTGGGTCATATTTCTTAACTGTGAAAGGCTTTAGGTGTTTCCCAGGCCGAGATGTTTTTAACAATTGGTCGAAGGTGAATACATACTTATCATCCTCCCAAGATATATTATCCAGTGATAAGGCTTTAAGGGTTTGGCAGCTTTGAGCAGAGATAAGGGCTAACATCATGGTCAGTTTAAGTGTTAGCTTTTTCAGTGTCAAAGTTTCATTTGGCTGCATGGTTTTTAAGTATTCTAGCACTATTCGTACATCCCAGATTCTGGTGTACGTTGGTAAGGCTGGACGATTTTCGAAGACTCCTTTAAGGAATCTGCAAACCAGTGGGTGTGTTCCAAAACTAGTACTATCTGATAACTTACTATCGATGATAGCACTCCTTGCAGTATTTAGTGCACTGTACCCAAGCCCTTTTTGAACAACTCCAAGGAAGTTTATCCCTTCTTCTACAGTGGGAGAAAAGGGATTGATATGCCTTTGATAACAATATTGTCTCCATCTTTCCAAATGCCCTTCATATTGCTTCCGTGTGCCTGCTCTCCATGCTGATTCCAGGACTTCCACAGCTGTTGTCGAAAGTCCTCGGTCTTTGAACTGTTTCCTGATAAGTGACACACTACTAGCACTAGTTTCTCGTGAAGAGGATGTTTCTCCAATGGGTTGCTGGGAAGAATTAGTGTTGATGGTGTTTGTGGTAGCAAGATTGGTGACTGCATCAGCATTCTCATTGCTACTGGCCACCAGGATTGAGTTGGCCACTTTGGTATAATAAGCAGTCCCTCCGACTTCTCTTTTTGAATCTTTTGTAGCACCTGACTAATCAAACAAAAAGGTGGAAAAGCGTAAAATTGATAACCCAGCCATGAATGATGGAAAGCATTGACTGCAATTGCTTCGGGTCTGGGGTATATGAAATGTATGGCTTTAATTGGCAATTAATTCTGGAGGCAAAAGGTCAATGTTTGGCTTTACATTTAGTTTCGTACAAGCCCTATGAAATATGTGTTTATTCAGGCACCACTCAGTGGTGCCTGGCCTTCGAGATTCCCTGTCTGCATCGACATTCTCCTTGCCAGGAATACGGGCAACTGTGATCCAAACCTCATTAACAATGCACCAGTCCCATATAGTTTTGATAAGACTGTTCAATAATGGAGAGTGACTTGTTCCCATTTTGTTTAGGGTATTTTGAACCGTAGTGTTATCAACTAGTACTTTTACATGCATTTTCGTAATAGATTTTTGGTGGGACTTGAGACCAAAATACACTGCCAGCATTTCTAAATAGTTAATATGAGATTGACTCTCTTCCTGAGTCCAGAGCTCTCCAGTTTTAATGTTATTTATAGCACACCCCCAGCCCACTTTAGATGCATCTGTGGACATAGTTACATGCGGCTCTGGTCTAGAGATCAGATTGTTTGATCTTTCTACATTGTTTATCCACCATTCCAGCTCCTTTTTTGCGCTAGAGGATAACTGCATGTGAGTATCATAATTTCCCTTACATTGTTTTAGGGCTTCCGCTTTCTCACCCTCTGTAATCCGAAAATATAAGGGCCCATACATTGCCCCTGCAAATGTAGAGATAATAAACCCAATAACCTGGGCAACCTCTCTTATTTGAGGTATCCTACAAGAGTGTAGGTGGGTAAAAGCCAATTTTACCTTCTTTGCTTTTTCTGGTGTCAAAGAAACAGTCATAGTTATTGAATTTAGAATAAAACCAAGAAATACAATTTTTTGTGTTGGTATTAACACAGATTTTTCAGGGTGAGTGACAAAATTTAAGTTGTCTAAAACTTTAACTGTCTCAACAATGTTTGCTGCACAGTCATTAAAGTTATCACCTATCAAAATGGAATCATCAATATAAGGTGATGATATATGACCCTTTTTCCGTAATGATGAGTACACAGGCTTAAGCAATTTTGTGAATTTTCTTGGTGCTAATGCTAACCCATTAGGGAAGCAAGTAAATTTATATAATTTACCATTCCAATCGAGTTGTAAATATTTCTGATGTTCAGCACAGATACGTACTGAATAATAGGCATCTTTTAGATCAACTGATGCCATGTAGCAGTTTGGTTTCATTAGACTAATAGCATTCCAAATGGAGTCCATTTTGAAGTGCCTATATACCACATACTTATTTAAACTTTTGAGATTTAATATCATTCTATGAGACCCATCAGGTTTTGGTCTTAAGATAATGGATGAAATAAATTCATTTGCCTCATGAGCCGATTCAACTATGACACCCTTTGCAAACAGCTTTTTTATTTCCTGTGCAACACAACCATTCTCGAATGTTGTGAATGTATTGGGTTTTGGTGCATGTAGTTGGTGAGGTAAAGCGTTAAATTCAATCTCCTCACCCAAGACTGTATGTAAAACCTCTGAATCAGAGGTGAGTTTGCGCCATTCACAAAGTTTGTGACTTAACTGGCCTGCTTGAAAGCGTTTCACTCGTGAGTGTAAATACCTGACTAATAAAGGCAAGTCTCTCTCTAAAGTACTGACCTGTAAGTTTGTCATGATATTTTTGTTTCTTTCACTATTGGCCATTACTGGTATTGTTGCTGCTTGACTGGAAAGGTTGATGGCTTTTTCGATGGGTATGTCGACCTTGGTGGGTGTTTCTTCCAATTCAGATTGTTGGATAAAAATGGTTCTTTCTTGGTTTTCCTGTGAGGAGGAATTGTTGGTACCATGAGAGTGAGGGCGGCCATACTGCCTGACCTTATCAAACCTTTGAGGCACTGTTGCCTTGCTGATCTTGTTCGATGCCCTAATATCATTTAGTTGTGTTTGAAGGTTATCCCCAAACAAGTAAGTCGTTACTGGCACATGTGATGCACAAAGGCTGCTATAATCCTTGTTTAAATTTGGCCTAATAGCGTCGCGTCGACGCATTGATAGTTCACACATTGTGTGGCCAAGAAGTGCCAAGGCATCGGTATTCATTGTGATCAGTTTATCAACGTCTGGTGATTCTTTACTACGTATTTGTAGCAATTTGTCTGTCGTGAAAGACAGTACGGCGCCAACCTTCGCTATTGTTTTCTGCGTGTTAGCAGTGCGAAGGTCGTTGTGCTTGGTCTTATTGTCAAGCTTGTCCCATATCTCAGCGTTAACGCGAGGGACAATAAATTTTTCACAATTACTTGGTCTTGAATACTTTTCCATTTTTTCTTTTTGTTTTGCTTCTGGGAGCTTGTTTGACCATCGTTTGTTGACAATATCAGCAAGTTGCTGGTTTATATTGTCGCCAACCTCCTCTTCTTGCTCCAAATCGTGCGAGATTTCTTGTAGCAGAGAGTCTTGTTCGCGTCGAACACATGTGGCGCTTATACTACCTTCATTTGCCGAGTCGGCATCAGGTTCACTTTCTCGATGCAATCCTTCTGCATCACCGTCAGTGTAACCTTTGTCTATTTCCATTAGTGAAGTTACACGTCGTTTTTTGCTTGGTCCTTCGTTCAAGCAAGGATCCTGACTGTCGGACTGCAACCGTTTAATGGAACTGTCCATGTTGATAATTTTGCTTGACATTTTCTCTACTTTGTCGACGAGACTAGCCAACACTTCTGGCTTTGCTATCCCTGGTGGTGTCGCTTCTTTCATACCGCTAGGCTCTTCTTCCAATAGCCGTCTTTCCAATTCGTCATCTGATGCCATGATTTTCGCTCCTTTGTTGAGATTTTATTCGATAAAAACAACCGTTCGCTCGAAGACTACGCGGGCAACTGATTCCTCGATCTGCGTGCGCATATCTCACATGACTCCTTAGTGACGTAGTCCAATGACGAAATAGAATTAAGCCTCATAACAACATTTATTATGTATGACGGAACTAAGACTAAACCAACTCGTAAATTATACCTTAAAATAACATTTAGCGTTGCAGTAAGGTAGAAATATACTGATTTGGCGAAGAGTGATGTGAACAATGTAGAAAACCACTGTAAAATTTCTTCAGGCGTTTATATTGAGAACGTCGATTCTGCAACCAGTGAATAACAGACATCGGTAAAAATCATATGATTGGTATAACATTTTTTGACATTTCGTCAGCTCACATTTTGAAAATTAAATTAGACTGATATTATTAATAAACAATGCAACAACTCTGAATTCTGTTTTCTGACTTGATGGCGACGGAGCAAGCTCATATTAATTATCATTTCATCTTTGCCTTTCGTCAAAGGGCATATGACGTGAAACTTGTGCTATTGAAATGATACTGTCATTAAACGTAACTTTCAAATTGAGAGTGTACCTTTTACAACAGTTTGTTCGCGTCACTAATCGTTCTCAAGATATTCTAGTTTATGTAATAACCTTTTTACACAACTAGTGACGTCACATTGCATGATGAGAATTTTAAATAGCAGGTACCAGTGAACTCTATTAAAAGATTGGAACATTAACTCCAATACATTGAACTAGAATATACCTAGAACGACAACTCCCATAGTTTTGTCCTATGCTTGGCTGAAGCCAACATACATCTAAGATTTGTCAAACTTCTCCCTGAAATAATGCCTTTTTTTCGGCGACCGATGTTTGTTTACCTTCTTTCCAGAAGAAAAACGTGAAAGAAGAGATTTAGTGTCGTTTTTTGGCTCATATTGTGCTTTATTGCATCTAACAGAATTAGTTCATGCTACAGCAAGATATTTTCGAAGGAAAAATATCCAGTTACGTTATAAAAAAACACATTTACACACGCTAGTTTGTTGTTAAGCTTAAAGTGTATAAAAATTTTTGTTGTCTTAGATAAAATATCTCCAAAAACTGCAATGGACTCTTTTTTTAACATTCATGATTGCATGCTTTGTTTGGGATGTATGTTCAGTTGTTTCCTAATCACTATAGGCTTCATTCATACTAACCAAACAAGTACAATACAAGCAGGTTTGTAGCGCAACAACAAAATAAAACATGATTTTAAGATACTTAAATTAGGAAACGATCGACAGAACATAAATTCTTCAATTTTTAAAATATTTGATAGCACAAATACATTGCACATATACAGCTTTCATTATACAGAATAAAAATGTTATAGAAAATCCAAAAAACGCACAACACATTCAACAACATAGTTGTATAGTTTTATGACATCGTTTGAGCGAATGATCAAAGAAAACGCTTAGAAAGTACAATGTACAACTGGTGTACAGCTGTACTTTCATGATATTTTTTTAACGAATACTGCATGAATCCGTTTTAAAGATAATATCGTGGTTCGGAGTGTAGAAAAACAATGTTTCAAAATTGCCAACAGTGAAATTTAATCTATAACATGAAGTTCCTAAGGTTCTTTTGTGAAATATGGTTCTTCTTTTGTGAAACTTTTATGATTATATATGACTGACATTTTTTTACAAATTACAATTTGATTTCTTTCTATGAATTTATTAAGTGTTGTTTTGCTGGGGCATTTAGCTGGCATTTCATTAACTGAAGATGCAAATAAGCCCCTTTTTGTAAAAGTATTATATCTTTTACAGTTGTATCGGAATATATACGTCATCTACACAGGCTTGTTGGTGAATGGGTGCTTATCAATTGCACAGTTAATTACCATGACATTAATGTTCAACTTTTGGATGGAAACGAGAAGCCTTTACATGTTGAGAACAAAAACATTAAAATTGTAGTAAAAAATATCTTCAATGTGACAAAAGTAACACAAGACCACAAAGAGTACATCTGCCAAGCTTGCAATGAGAAAAGAACTATACAGATCATCCCTCACAAAAGTTGGTATTTTGTATGCTTTTAGATACTGTTTATCAAATACCTTCTTGGTTACACGAGTGTCATTACCGAGAAACGTGGTAAATTAAACTATAATGTTTCCAAAATCATGTTTAAAAATAGTTTTTACAGAGTCTTATATCATTTCTACAATGTGATATTGCCAATTTCAATGATTTGAAACAAATTAATATGAGCAAGTGCTGTAACTTTGAATATATTGATCTGTCTAGGAGTTCATAGGCCCCTTTGTCTCTTCTACAGGTGTGCCATCCTATGCGAATCCTTCAATTACGGTAGAACCAAAAAAACCCGAATATGATCTTGGTGACAAGGTTTCGCTAGATTGCAATATTGCTGGTATTCAATTCATATATGCTTCCCGATACTATAGATTTTTTTGGAAGAGTAATGGAAGAAACAAAGAAAAATGTGAAACAAAAAACCGAAAGAACTGTAAAATAACGTTTAATATTACCGCAGAATCTGAAGGAACCTACTTATGCTTGATAGAAAGAAAGTATGTTAATTATAAATCATACAGAAGCTTTACTTTGAAAGTCAAAGGTAATTCCATTGAAGTAAATGAAAAGCCGTTTTCTGTAATTTTGAGTTCTTATTTCTCAAGACTTCAGTGTGTATCAAAACGTATACTCTAGGAAAAATTCTCTAAAACAAGACGCGCGTGGAATAAGCAAAGACGTTTGGTTATTATGAGTAATTTAAAGTTCGCTGGTACAGCTGGTAATGAGATTTTTTAAAATGCGAGATATTTTACGAGTGAAACAACCGATATTAAAGTCTTTAAAAGACAGGCCATGCGCACGAAATATACTCATCGTAAAAACAATTTTATCACACTGAGTAAAAATATGGCCTGTGTTTTACAAGCTTTCAGACAATTTTTCCAACCTGAATGCACCTGCGTACAAAACTATTAGATTGTTTTTTCAACAATAGTATAGTGGGCTTGAAATTCAGCCACAAATGGAAGAGTCAAGGAACTCGTGTTGTATAAGAATAGGCTTCCGATAAAACGCTTTAAACACAACTTTTGAATTAGTACAAAGCAAACTGCTCTAAAATAGCCCAAGTCACAGCGAACCCTGAAATATAGCCACAGATGAAACCACATCAAAGTTCAGGCAATCTTTCATTGATAAGCAAGGTCATTTGATATACTAAAAACAAAAAAGAACTAAATGAACCATCAACTAAACCACCATCTAAAACGTGTAAATTCCGTTGCCTATACTGCAGAATTCTAGCACCATAGGCACTTTGAACAAATTATTTAAGACGACGGGAAATATGTGTTCTACCAAACTGACCCAACTCTATTCAGACTATGCAAAGTTTGTCTTGTAAGTGACACACAGGAAACAAATCCTCTTCACTGTGCCTATAGAGAAAAATCAAATAATCTAAATATACCGGAAAGTGCCCAGAGGACTATTTTAACATCGTGGAAATGGATCATATTTGTCGACGATCATTTCCTCGTGAGATGAAATAAAATTAGCGAAAATCAGTTTGTAAGATTAGTTTAATTAAGACCGTCACCACTTCGTTAAATAAATATGGAACATAGAAACAGCGCTATATCACTTCAAAAACAAAGAAAATAACCTAAGAAATTTCATTTTCATGGAAGTGCAAGAGTAAAATATCATGACGGAGAAAACTAAAAACAGTCGATGGCATAAACATTAAGCTTAGGTTTGCGGGTAATTCGCTTATCGTACACTGTTATAAATAGTCATTTAATCTCTCTTGGTCATCTACACTAATCAATAAACATTTTTGTAAAAAGTAATTGTTCTTCACATTTTTTCATGTTCTTCGCATTTTTCTCGTTTTCTTTTCATTTTTAAAGCATATCGAAAGCATTTTCAAGCATATTTAAAGCATGTTTTCTTCACATTTTCTTCAACTCTAGAGCTTGCCAGACCCAAAATTTACATTGAAAACGACGCAGACGAGTTCTCACTTGGTGAAGGAAAGAATTTGACGTTTACCTACAACGTTACGTCTTATCCTGCTGCCGATATCTTTTGGTTGCGTTTGAAATATGATGGATCAACCTATCAGTCACTAACAAGTTGTTCTGCGCATGAAAAACACTGCAAAAATCATGACGGACAAGAAAAAATTACAAGAAACAAGTTCGAAGTAAAGTCTGTCAGATTTCCTGATGACAGTTTAACCTATCAGATAAATGCTAGCAATATAAAAGGAAATGAAATTAAGAAGATTTCAATAAAAAAACTAGGTCAGTCCTGTTTGATTTACAAAGAAAATAAAACTGAAATTTTAGCGTAAAAGACATTTGCATAGAAACGAAAGGCAAATAAATGGCACTTGTACATTATGCGCCCTTGTGCACCAAGCAAAACTCAGATTAGAAGCTCAACTTTTAATTCAATAACGGTTTCGACATTTTAAAGAAAAAATACCAAAAAACATAGCTATTTAGGTAGTTTTGAAATGTATCATACTCAAAGATTAAGCTTGAGTCATGCATAATATAAAGATCAGTTTTAGTTTTTACATTTATTTTTTCAGTTGTACCTGAAATTGACATTAAAGACACTAAAAGATTTTTAAAGAAAGGATTTTCGGTCCTAAACTGTACGTTGAAGAAGATATTTGACCTACAAGAAATAACCTTCAAATGGTACAAGTGCCAATCTCATATCTGTCATGATCATAAGAACGAGATGGAATATATTTCATCAAACTATTCTTTAACAGTAAAGGAGGGCAGGTATCGCTGTACTGCCAACAATAGCGGTGAAATAGATACATCACCAATAATAACAGTTACAAAAGAATCCGAACCAAAAGGTACAACCAATGGACAGAAGAAAACAATGATGATGTTGGTCATACCTATAGGCGTCCTCACTCTTGTCATTTTGGTCATTACTTCTTATGTATTGTACAAAAGGAAGAAAATTTACGGTGGTTTTTATCTCCTTTCTTATCCTCCATTGCCTGACTACATAGAAAAGATTGATATGAATGGAGATATAGTTATAGAGAAATAGATATATTTTGACGTAGTTTGGATCCGCCACTACATGCCACTGTCACTGATTTTTGTTCTGAATTTTTAACCAGTCTCTGACGTGTTTTTCACTCACTTCACTGTAGCGATTTTACTTTTGGAGTAGTCTTCTTCTGAGAATAATTGCCGACACCATTCCACGACATGACAATGTCTTTGGCATATTACTTGTTTTTTTTATCTTGGTCGAGTTTCAAGAAAACAAGACGACGACTTTTGGAATTTGTTTTATTTTGTATTTCGTAGCTAGCCCAGATTCTTCTGATCAAATAAATAGCTCTTCGTTTACTTAGTGGTATTGGAATGAACTGACTGAACTCCAACTATTGATGTAACGATTATGTATACACGTCAAATGTCGTTATTGTAACGATTGTAGCACAATTCAACATGCTTAAATTTGTAAAAAAACTGTGTAACATTTATTTGACAGTTTGAAACATTCACCTTTATAAGAACTAACAATTTCACCACCAACTAGTGCATAATCCAAAACATGAAAATATCTGGAATTTGAAATTCATAATTTAAATTTCATGGCGTATATATAGCTCATAAAATATGGTCTTTATTGTTAAAACTACATCAAGTTTTTGAGCTCCACTCAAATATTCAACGTCCTTGAACTAAAATTTGTTCATAGCTATTTTTTTTCAAATATAGCATTAATTCATACAGTATGATAACTACGTGCTGACACAGGCGTTGTTGAAAGATAACATATTGACAAGAAGTGGGGTCAATATTGGTACGTGTCGTAACAACTCGTACATTTATCGAACTTCACTTACGCTTTATTGAGCTTTGATTGTGCTTGTTTACATTACAAATGCACAGTTAAATATACCATACGCCTTACTAAATGCTGTTTTTCCCTCAATGAAGGGCATCTTGGTTTTTGTAACTTGTTTTTCAAACTTAAGCACAGTAATTAGAAACTGGTAAGCATAGCTACTCTCCTGTGGCGGTGGATGTGAGGATGATTGCAACTCTTTTAATTGCTTTGGTCATTAAACAAAGAATTGCCATACTGTAGACCCATTTTAAGCAGTCAATCTTTGTTAACGGTCACGTGATAAAGTCACAAAATTTCTTTGGTCGGGTGACTAAGTCACAAAAATTTTAAAATATAAATATTATTTTAGAACATTAGGAGTAAGCACTGAATACATTAAGAGTGTTCTCAGTTTCCGTCAAGCCCAAAAAAACTAAACTTTAAAAAATATTTTCTTGAGGATATTTTCTGTCTCATGGGCGTTGGAAATTGCTGTTTCCATGCTCATAAAGATACATACATTGTACTGTATAAAGATATAAACATTGTACTGTATAATGATATGTACATTGTACAATATAAAGATATATACAATCTACTGTATAAAGATATGTGCATTAAACTGTATAACGTTTTAGGTAACACTTATACATAAATTTTACGTCATTCAAATAAAATAAAAATCACGTTTAGAGTCTATATCTTGGTGGCAGGCCTGCGAAACGCTTTATTAAAAGATTTTGATAAAAGTGAAATATTTAATAATGTTCTGAATTTATCAAAAGTTATATCTTTGTCTACATCTTTCTCTTCATCAAAATCTACATCTTTGTCTACATCAAAAACTACATCTTTGTCTGCATCCTTGTCTACATCAAATGAAAACTACATCTTACTTCACATTCTTGTCGTCTACATCAAAAGCTACATTTTAATAATAATGATGATGATGATTTTGATGAAAGCCTTGAAGTTCTATTCATCTGACGTATAGAATTGGCATAATATAGACACGCAAAGGTCCTAGCTTCTCAAGAAACAAAATTGATTAAGTTTTTCATGTGGACGTTATCTTTGGCGTGCTAACTAAAACAATATATCAAGCAACATAGTGCTTTCGAGCCTTTCGAGCTGAGAGTCTGGGAGTAAGAAATTTTAACTATTATACGGATGCAAACATTGTATTTTTAAATTCTTCCAGCACGTATGTGAAGCTGGAGTGTTTGCCAAATGTTTTGTTGTAGTATTTTGCGCGCAGCATTTTTTTACTGTCCAGTTTTGCCAAGTTTGAGTGAATGAACATATATTTTGTATGTGCACGCAACAGTAATTCTTATGTAAAGAAAAACAGATTCCATGCAGACTCCATTATTCATATTCCAGAACCAGATTTCATAAAACAGATTGAAATTCAAGTAAACGAAATTTTTTTATTCTGCATTATCTGAAGTTGTCTGCTTTTCATGGTTGTTAATACTCATATCTTGTAGAATCACACATGTTTGTGACACATGGTTATTAGACATATATCTAAGAAAATATTCGCGGTATTTTCATGCTAATTCTGATGACTATCTATACTTTGCATGTGCTTTGCGTATTTTGATTAAAGACAACAAGCATTAGCTACTTTGGGCAGATTTAACATTTCATAACATGTGAACCAAGTTTTGTGTTATTATGAATGGACTTTGTGGTAGCTTTATTGTTTATATATTTTGTATTAGCGTTAAACAGTATCTCCGTGGCTACAGTTTCTAATACAAGAATGCATGGTCAAAGGATTTTCTAGGTTCATCCAGGGGCATAGACAAAGGGAAGGCTTAACTCCTCCAAAGAACAGACGTAGTGCCCTAGAAGTAGGGCGAATGGAATGGGAGGGCGATACGAACATAGTTGAGTACCTATAAGTCTAACAGTAGAACTAAATGTCTTCAGGTATTACTAAGCGTACTCACTTTCGTTTGAGTATTTATTCGCGTAATCCCAGTAGAACATTCTATTGACATATTCACCAAAAAGAATGAATTTAGCATGAAAATACCACGTGTTATAGACGTCTTCAAGATTCTGATAAAAGTAGTGCTATTTAAGGTATTAAATTTACGTCTGTAACGCTCTAATTACTTTGAAAGTCGTCTTTATTCGAAGTACTTTTAACAGTTGCTTTGTATAATTAAACATAAAAATAATGCTTTTCAGTAACAAATAACTTTCAGAAATCACACTGGAAATTGCAACAGAGGGACATTAGATTTAAAATTTTCTAAGCGGAGCATGCCCCCTATTAAGGCTCATGCTTTTGGTGTTTGAAAATATGCCCCTCCATAAGTTCGTGTCTGGCTACGCCACTGGATTAAAACGTGTCTGTGTTGCATATCTTGCTTAGATTTTACTTACTATATATAAACGCTGCACGCACAATATACATCAACGGTTTAACAGCATTCTAATATTTGTAAATATTAGAACAGCATTCTAATATTTGCACCTCCAACCCACAAGGATTTGCTTGGTCTCTATTTTAAATATCATCCGTTCTTTCCAAACCATTTCAGAATATCTAAAAGATGGCATCGATTCGAAATAAAGTTGCAGTGTTGCTGTTATATGTTGTGTTGACTGACAGCCGTAGGAATGCATCAAAGAATTGTACGAATGATACAAAATGTATGTTATAGAAAATACGAGCATTTCAATGTTATTTGTCTTTCTTGTGATACCCCTTTGCTAATTTTATTAATATACTTGCATTCTCTATGCATACATATAAAGTCTTATCAAAACTTATTATTAAGGCTAAAGCTAGAGTAATAACTTAATTTTTCATGAGGACTTAGTTTACCACATGTCATTCTTAATTTTAAACAATCACATCAAATCATGAACGCATGTGACTGTCTTATCTTGCACATATAATGTCATACATGCTCAAAATCATGATGCAAACATGGTTATAATTAAACAAAAGCAGTGATTGATAAAAAATATATTCAATACAGCAGCAAAGCCTGCAAGTTTTGTGAAGCAGTTTTAAAAGTGAATAAACACTTAAAAGTTTACGAAGAAGAAATTTATAATCGAACAGGGCTTTATTAAGAAAAAAACTATACACTTTACAGCTTTTCATCGTGTTATAGTCATTGTTATAGGATGACAAAAAACAAAACTTAATGAAAGAAAAGAACAATAAATGTTTTTTTTAAGTTTGTATGTATAGGCTTTGCAAAAGTTTTTGTTTAAGCTTTGTTTGTTGAATGCATTTTTTCATAAAACCTACTCCAATCTAGAATTGATCAAACCAAAAATTTATATTGAAAACGACACAGAGGTGTTCTCATTTGATGAAGGAAAGAATTTGACGTTTCTACAACGTAACGTCTTATCCTGCTGCCGACATCTTTTGGTGGCGTTTAAAATATGATGGATCCAACGAGCAGATTGTAACAAGTTGTTCTGCGGCTGAGCAACATTGCAAATATCATGACGGAAAAAAAATTACAAGAAACAAATTTGAAGTAAAGTCTGTCAGATTCCCTGATGATAATATAACCTACAAGATCAATGTAAGCAATATGAAAGGATATGAGATCAAGAATATTTCAATACAAATTCTCGGTTAGTCCTGTTCGAAAAAGTATTTGAGGTAAATGAAATTAAAATTTTAAGGTGTGTTTTAGTTTTTTATATTCAGTTTTTTAAATTTTTAGTTAAGCCTAGCATTGAAATTTGAAACGAAAATATAGTTTTGAAGAAAGGATTTTCGGTGTTGAAATGTACATTAAACCAGAGACATTACCCAAAAGAAGTAACCTTCAAATGGTTCATCTGCATATCTGATACCTGCTACGACGACAAACATTGGAAATACATTTCATTCAACTATTCTTTAAAAGTACAAAATGAGGGCAGGTACCGCTGCAGTGCATGCAATACAGGTGGAACAGCTATATCGCCAACAATAAACGTCGTCAGGGATATGTCAACAAAACTAATGTTGTCAAAACAACAATCACACAGGCAAGTCTTCTTTATCAATGTCGCAGAATTTGAGGTCGTCCAACAATATAATCTGCACTATGACTTTTTTAATGATTGTGTTTTACTGACAAAGAATAAGCAAATCGCAACATATTAAAAAATCTACAATCTAAGCTTTTCATCTGTCACAACTGATCACCAATACCTAATTGCACTCCAACCTACATTCTATCACCATATTTATAATTTTTATGTATAAAATTAGATATCATCTTACATCAATCATGGCAAAAATATATTGTTGTTGTTTTTATCTTTACTAAAGAAGCTAAATGCAAAAATCGCTTAAATAAAAGAATGTATTAACGTACTTATGCTTATATTTACCAGAACCCCCGATGATCATGAAATTTATTTTATATATCAAACTTCCTTTTTGTTGACAGCTTACAGATTATATTTTTAGGTCGTTGAATTTGTCTATAAGCAGTATGATTGGCAAGATAAAAGTTGCAACTCTTCAAAAGCATCAAAAACTATTTTTTTACAAAACTTCAGTACTCTCGAAATGAATGATTCATACACGTGACTCAGCCATAAAGTATTTTTTCTATTTATGTAGTAAACATTGCCAATATACAACAGTCGACGAATGTTGATATTTGTCATATCTACTGGCGTCATCACACTCGTCATTTTGGCGATCACATCTTATGTATTTTACAATAGGAAAAATATTTACGGTGGTTTTTATCTTCTTTTTATCCTCCATTGCCTGACTACATTAGAAAGATTGATATGAATGGAGACATACACGAACAAATACAAAAGCTTCCATTTTTACATGAGTGGGAGTTTCCTAGAGAAAGAATAAAATTCAGTAAGTAATCCCATGGATACATTTCTCTCATCAATTTTTTTTTATTCACCGCATTCGTCCGGTTCAAATGCAGGATAATTTTTGGTAAGAACTCAAATTTTACAAGCCTTGTCTGCATTAATTTACAAGGCTTGTAAAATTTGAGTTCTTACCAACAATTATCCTGCATTTGAACCGGTGAATAAAAAATTGATGAGAGAAATGTATCCATGGGATTACTTACTGAATATTTTATATTTTTCTCTACAGTTTTAAGTAATGGAGATTGCCTTAAGCTAAAAACGTAGGTATTTAACTTTTCTTGACTAAATGATAAATTTGTTGATAACATTGATGTTTTATGTAGTAAATAAACCTGGGTCTGGTGAATTTGAGGTAGTTTGGCTTGCAGAGGTAGTTGGTATCTCGTCATTTCATCCAAGAGACATCCTGAGAGAAAGAAAATCAAAGAAGGTTTTCGTCTTTTAAAAGAAATTATATTATTAAAGTTGCAGTTAAGAAAACCAAAGGTTTAGTTGCAATAATGTATTATTAACATATTTAATTATTCATATTTTATACGTTTTATGCTCATGTAAGTAGCATTATTTTTGTTTCATGATTTTAATGACAAAAAGATTGAGAAAACACTGAAAAATACGTTTTTGTCGACAAGGAAGGTGAATTTTTGAGCTACTCGTTATGATATTACGATTCAACGTCGGATTCAACTACGACTTTTCCCTTTACAAGTGGAATTGCATAAAAACTGATTAAAAATATGAACTGAAATGATGCTACAAAGAAAATTGTCCTTTAATACAAATTTTTATTTCAAAACCATCATCAGACAAAATGAAAATGATCCTTTCTCGGATTGTGTTTTATTTTATAATAACAACGCTACAGAGAGTGTGTGTCAAACAAACTAAATGGCTACGTGGGCTAGCACTGACATGCTGACTTTTCGACATGAAATGAGGTCAATATTGGTACATGCTGCGTTAACCCGATCGTTTTTTAAAGTATTGCAAATTAGATATTGTCATCATTTGGTTATATACAAGTTGCAGTGTGGGACGTGTACATAAAACAAAGTAATAGAAAATCGTCGATAGTCGACATTGGCAGGTTCATCTTTCTGAATCCAGTAGTGGTTATCCCCAGTACAGGTATTTATTGTAATAACTTTCGTTTATATAATAGTTTCTTGAAAGAATTGGCCGCTGAAGACAGGGTCATTGTCTTGTCAAAATTACCCGGTTTAACTTAAGGGCATCGCTTTCATCCATTTCCAGCCAGCGATAATGCAACTGACCGTACATTACGCCTGGGAGACTCGAAGTGAGAGTTCCCAAAACCCGAGAAACATCCCTCATTTTTGGGTGAAAAGCTTGTAGCAGCTCATGACACATGCGTTTATCTTCTCAGCTCGTTCTGTCGTAACAGATATTCGCATAAGAATTTATTTGAGTCGGAAACCCAAAAAAGTAATTACTTGTGAGGGAACTAAAACTGACTTATCCGGATGTACGTAAAACCTTACTTTACTAAATAAGAAGATGGTATCTTGAATATTCCGAACACATGAAGCATATGTGTCAGCCAAGTATCACCAAGTATCAGCCAATCGAAATATGTCCTTTTTGACGTAAATTCAAAAAAACAGGTTTAAGGAGTTTTGCAAATTTTCTTGGGCAGATGGCTAGGCCGTTAGGAAAACAGACAAATTTATATAGTTGCCCTCTCCACCAAAATTTGAGGAATTTTTGATATGCTGGGTGAATAGGTACGGAATAGTAAGCATCTTTGCGATCGATGGATGCCATGAAACAATTTGATTTCGTAAGCATAATAGCTGACCAAACATACTCCATTTTAAAATGGTGATATCTGACATGCCTGTTTAAGGATTATGGATTAAGAATCATGCGAAAAGAACCGTCTTTTTGGGGGCAACTGAAAATTGGAGATACAAATTCCCCTGATTTAGGGTGAGAAATCTGCAAAACGTCTTTTTTGCGTAATTTGCTAATTTCTAAATCAATATTGTTCATTTCAACCTCTGGTAGCTGTATTTGCTTGGGTAAGACTCTTTATATCGGAGTTGTGTCAAATTCAATTTTTTGTCCAGACACTGTCTCTAAGATTCCCTTATCAGAGGTGAGTGTTTCCCATGCACTTAAAAAAATTGATATGCTGCCAGCCTGATAGTTCTCCAAGCTTTTATTCAAATACGCTATTAGCGTGGGTACAAAAGAAGAATACTGGTTTACCTGTAAAGTCTTAAAATTTCTTAAAAATTCAGTGTTTCTATGTTTAATATGATGGGTTTTTTAAACTTTGTTCTAACTTATTTTTCATTTTGACTTTTGCTTTTTGCCACCTTTCATGATGGCGTCCTTGCCTCACCTTGTCAAGGTAGTTAGACATCTAGAAGATTGGGTTCTAAATCATTAGTCATGCATTGTAAGTAGTTTTCCTCGAAGACAAATTGCAAGTCATTACTTATTCTGCATTGAATTGGCAATCGCATCTCCTTAAGTTACCTAATTACAAGGACATTTCTTTGACGATGATATTTCTCTATTTAACTCATTATTGAAGATAAACATGATCTGATTACAAAGAACTTCAATTACCATTGCTGTTTGTTGCCATTAGAATAGTGCAATTGTTAAACTGTTTTTCCTAATCACTATTAATTTTAAACATAGTCATAAACAATTTGGTTTTGTGACATTTATTAAAATAGTGACGTTTCGTCTTGATTCAAGACATCTTCAGATTAATAAAGAAGTTAACAAGAATTATAGATATATATAGAGTTATTTACATATATAGAGTCATTTACATATCTATGCAGCTGGTTTTACTTTTTCCTTAAAGATGTTCAAATTGAATTTCATACTAAAATGGCTCTATAGATGCTTTTGAGCATCTAAAAGTATTCTTGAACAAGAAAGCAGAAGTTGCTCTCTAATAACATGTCTATTCTCAATCTATACATTAGCCAAAAGCGCTGTCCGAGAGATGCTCTTAGGTCTTATTCAAACATGACTGGAGTTTAGTCATTTACGCTGATCTTCGGTTAGTTTAAACTGTCTTTCAAATTCACCAATAATAATAAGTCTTTAGATCTTTGTTTGTTGGAAATTTGATATTGGTTCAGAGTGCTTCCGTCAAATAAGTTGTTAAATAAGAATATGTCGTGTTATCCTTTAATGTTTTAGCTTATGCTTAGTAGACCATACGCCCTGAAGAAGTCAGTTAAATTTTCTACAAACTGTAGACAGTAAAACTATAGGTATAAACTCTATTTAAATATATCATCTGGTCAAAGTTTTGCATAGAACACCAAGATACGCACAGCTGTTGAGCACAATGCGCAACAACACTCACGTAGGCTTTAGCGCATGGTCTCTATTTCCTTAAACACTCCAAGTGTCATTAACATCACAACCATTTGTAGATCGTTCGTAAAAAGCTTTCTCGTCCTTTTCATGATATTTCAGAAAACCCAAAGATGGCTTTGATCCAAAACAATGTAGCAGTGTTGCTGTTATATGTAGCGCTGATTGAGAGCTGTGCAAGTGCACCCGAGAATTGTACAAGGAATATAAAATGTAAGTAATAAGATATTCTTATTAGATCTATCCTTATTTAGCTTTATTCTCAACATGTTCCTTAAAATCAACTGCTGAACAAAGAGCTGTATAATTAAGCCTCATAACAACATTTATTATGTATGACGGAACTAAGACTAAACCAAGTCGTAAATTATACCTTAAAATAACGTTTAGCGTTGCAGTAATGTAGAAATATACTGATTTGGCGAAGAGTGCTGTGAACAATGTAGAAAACCACTGTAAAATTTCTTCTGGCGTTTATATTGAGAACGTCGATTCTGCAACCAGTGAATAACAGACATCGGTAAAAATCATATGATTGGCATAACATTTTTTGACAATTCGTCAGCTCACATTTTGAAAATTAAATTAGACTGATATTATTAATAAACAATGTAACAACTCTGAATTCTGTTTTCTGACTTGATGGCGACGGAGCAAGCTCATATTAATTATCATTTCATCTTTTGCCTTTCGTCAAAGGGCATATGACGTGAAACTTGTGCTATTGAAATGATACATTCATTAAACATAACTTTCAAATTGAGAGTGTACCTTTACAACAGTTTGTTCGCGTCACTAATCGTTCTCAAGATATTCTAGTTTATGTAATAACCTTTTTACACAACTAGTGACTTCACATTGCACGATGAGAATTTTAAATAGCAGGTACCAGTGAACTCTATTAAAAGATTGGAACATTAACTCCAATACATTGAACTAAAATATACCTAGAACGACAACTCCCATAGTTTTGTCCTATGCTTGTCTGAAGCCAACATACCTCTAAGATTTGTCAAACTTCTCCCTGAAATAATGCCTTTTTTTCGGCGACCGATGTTTGTTTACCTTCTTTCCAGAAGAAAAACGTGAAAGAAGTGATTTAGTGTCGTTTTTTGGCTCATATTGTGCTTTATTGCATCTAACAGAATTAGCTCATGCTACAGCAAGATATTTTCGAAGGAAAAATATCCAGTTACGTTATAAAAAAAACACATTTACACACGCTAGTTTGTTGTTAAGCTTAAAGTGTATAAAAATTTTTTGTTGTCTTAGATAAAATATCTTCAAAAACTGCAATGGACTCTTTTTTTTAACATTCATGATTGCATGCTTTGTTTGGGATGTATGTTCAGTCGTTTCCTAATCACTATAGGCTTCATTCATACTAGCCAAACAAGTACAACACAAGCAGGTTTATAGCGCAACAACAAAATAAAACATGATTTTAAGATACTTAAATTAGGAAACGATCGACAGAACATAAATTCTTCAATTTTTAAAATATTTGATAGCACAAATACATTGCACATATACAGCTTTCATTATACAGAATAAAAATGTTATAGAAAATCCAAAAAACGCACAACACATTCAACAACATAGTTGTATAGTTTGATGACATCGTTTGAGCGAATGATCAAAGAAAACGTTTAAAAAGTACAATGTACAAATGGTGTACAGCTGTACTTTCATGATATTTTTTTAACGAATACTGCATGAATCCGTTTTAAAGGTAATATCGTGGTTCGGAGTGTAGAAGAACAATGTTTCGAAATTGCCAACAGTGAAATTTAATCTATAACATGAAGTTCCTAAGGTTCTTCTTTTGTGAAACTTTTATGATTATATATGACTGACATTTTTTTACAAATAAGAATTTGATTTCCTTCTATGAATTTATTAAGTGTTGTTTTGCTGGGGCATTTAGCTGGCATTTCATTAACTGAAGATGCAAATAAGCCCCTTTTTGTAAAAGTATTATATCTTTTACAGTTGTATCGGAAGATCTACGTCAGCTACGCAGGCTTGTTGGTGAATGGGTGCTTATCAATTGCACAGTTAATTACCATGACATTAATGTTCAACTTTTGGATGAAAACGAGAAGCCTTTACATTTGAGAACAAAACATTAAAATTGTAGTAAAAATATCTTCAATGTGACAAAAGTAACACAAGACCACAAAGAGTACATCTGCAAAGCTTGCAATGAGAAAAGAACTATACGTGTCATCCCTCAAAAAGTTGGTATTTTGTATGTTTTAGATACTGTTTATTTAATACCTTCTTGGTTACACGAGTGTCATTACCGAGAAACGTGGTAAATTAAACTATAATGTTTCCAAAATCATGTTTTAAAATAGTTTTTGCAGAGTCTTATATCATTTCTACAATGTGATATTGCCAATTTCAATGATTTGAAAACAAATTAATATGAGCAAGTGATTTTGAATACATTGATCTGTCTAGGAATTCATAGGCCCCTTTGTCTCTTCTACAGGAGTGCCATCCTATGCGAATCCTTCAATTACGGTAGAACCAAAAAAAACTGAATATGATCTTGGTGACAAGGTTTCGCTAGATTGCAATATTGCTGGTATTCAATTCATATATGCTTCCATATACTATAAATTTTTTTGGAAGAAGAATGGAAGAAACAAAGAAAAATGTGAAACAAAAAACTGTAAAAGAACGCTTGTTATTAAAGCAGAATCTGAAGGAACCTACTTATGCTTGATAGAAAGAAAGTATGTTAATTATAAATCATACAGAAGCTTTACTTTGAAAGTCAAAGGTAATTCCATTGAAGTAAATGAAAAGCCGTTTTCTGTAATTTTGAGTTCTTATTTCTCAAAACTTCAGTGTGTATCAAAACGTATACTCTAGGAAAAATTCTCTAAAACAAGACGCGCTTGGAATAAGCAAAGACGTTTGGTTATTCTGAGTAATTTAAAGTTCTCTGGTACCGCTGGTAATGGTTTTTTTTTAAAATGTGAAACAACCGATAATAAAGTCTTTAAAAGACAGGCCATGCGCACGAAATATTCTCATCGTAAAAACAATTTTATCACACTGAGTAAAAACATGGCCTGTGTTTTACAAGCTTTCAGACAATTTGGGCAAGCGCTTGCCCACAAGAGATCTTTAAAACTTCGATTTTTTTGCGTTTATGCCTTTTAAAGGGTTGTTTACTTGATCCCGGCTAACCGGGATTCAGCAAGGCCTGTAATGATTTTGGGTCATTGGAAGTAGTCCAAACTTCGAGCGTTAAACTTACAACATTTTCTTAAGCGTCATAAGTCATTTTAGTAGTAGTTAGGAACTCTAACGTTTGTATTAAAGGGCTAGAAAAGAAACATTTGGACTTAATCCCAAACAGGAGCACAGGGTATCTTTGGAGCAACGTACGGAAATCGAATTCCAAAAATGGATTACCCATCTACATGCTGACCAGTTATGATTCAGCCTGATAAAGAATCAACTAGAAACACTTACAGTCTGTCTCTAGAACACAAGCTTAGAGAGAACATAAGCCCATTGGCTCACCTTCTTGTGAAAACGTATGACGAATTTGATAAAAATAACACCGGTGACCGGTCGACCTGACCATCTAAATCATGAAGAGCAAACAAAGAAAAATCTGGAAAAAAGCCTCATCAGAAAACCAAGGTGTTGAGAAATCTGATTAAACACACTCACTATATAAAAATGAAAGGATGAAACGACGATTTCTTGAAGCAAATCATGCATGAGGAAGATAGATTAAGTGTAGATGCATGAGTTGCTAAGGACAATATAAATCACCTGCTCAACAAGCAATCCGAGTATTGAGAAAACGTCCAACCTGAATGCACCTTCTTCCAAAACTATTAGATTTATTTCAACAATATGTTGTATGGGAATAGGCTTCCGATAAAACGCTTAAAACACAACTTTTGAATTAGTACAAAGCAAACTGCTCTTAAATAGCCTAAATCACAGTGAACCCTGAAATATAGCCACAGATGAAACCACATCAAAGTTCAGCCAATCTTTCATTGATAAGCAAGGTCATTTGATATACTAAAAGCAAAAAGAACTAAATGAACCATCAACTAAATCTTCTTACAAACGTGTAAATTCCGTCGCCTTAGTACACAACCCATGTTCATGTTGAGCATTATACTGCAGAATTCTAGCACCATAGGCACTTTGAACAAATTTTTCAAGACGACGGGAAATATGTGTTCTACCAAACTGACCCAACTCTATTCTAACTATGCAAAGTTTGTCTTGTAAGTGACACAAAGGGAAACAAATCCTCTTCACAGTGCCTATAGAGAAAAATCAAATAATCTAAATATACCGGAAAGTGCCCAGAGGACTATTTTAACATCGTAGAAATGGATCATATTTGTCGACGATCATTTCCTCGTGAGATGAAATAAAATTGGCGAAAATCAGTTTGTAAGATTAGTTTAATTGAGACCGTCACCACTTCGTTAGATAAATATGGAACATAGAAACAGCGCTATATCACTTCAAAAACAAAGAAAATAACCTAAGAAATTTCATTTTCATGGAAGTACAAGAGTAAAATGTCATGACGGAGAAAACAAAAAACAGTCGATGGCATAAACATTAAGCTTAGGTTTACGGGTAATTCGCTTATCGCACACTGTTAAAAATAATCATTTAATCTCTCTTGGTCATCTACACTAATCAATTAACAATTTTGTAAAAAGTAATTGTTCTTCACATTTTTTCATGTTCTTCGCATTTTTCTCGTTTTCTTTACATTTTTAAAGCATATCGAAAGCGTTTTCAAACATTTTGAAAGCATGTTTTCTTCACATTTTTCTTCTTAACTCTAGAGCTTGCCAGACCCAAAATTTACATTGAAAACGACGCAGACGCATTCTTACTTGGTGAAGGAAAGAATTTGACGTTTACCTACAACGTTACGTCTTATCCTGCTGCCGAAATCTCTTGGTCGCGTTTGAAATATGATGGATCAAACTATCAGTTACTAACAAGTTGTTTTGCCCATGAACAACACTGCGAAAATCATGACGGACAAGAAAAAATTACAAGAAACAAGTTCGAAGTAAAGTCTGTCAGATTCCCTGATGACAGTTTAACCTATCAGATAAATGCTAGCAATAAGAAAGGATATGAGATTAAGAAGATTTCAATAATAAAACTAGGTCAGTCCTGTTTGATTTAAAAAGAAAAGAAAACTGAAATTTTAGCGTATAAAACATTTGCATACAAACGAAAGGCAAATAAATGGCACTTGTACATTATGCGCCCTTGTGCGGCAAGCAAAACTCAGATTACAAGGTCAACTTTTAATTCAATAACGGTTTCAAAATAATTTAACGTGATTTCTTCATATCAGGAAAGACAAGTATTCCAGCTATCGAATATCATGTTATTTGTAGAGTATAGAGGGAGGGGGGTGATAAGCAAATGCGAGCACATTTTAAAATCTACCTCGTATTTTATTTCCAAAAGAAAAACAAATTATTGACAAAAAGTGTCATAAACAAACTTTAATAATTAATACACTCATCATCCTCAAAACCTAATTACACACAATCATTTGAAATGTTACAAAACTTCTGCCAGTGCAGGCTGACTTAAGTTAGACAGAATGCATAATAGTTTCATACGTTTAATAGTAACTACTCTCATAAGACTGTTCAAGAGAGAATTATAATCAAGCCGACAGCTTTTAGTAATTTATAAAAACTTAACTACTTAAGTTTAACAATGAACAATCTTGAACATTAGCTACCTCTTCAATATATTCATGTCCTAATTTAACTATGCAAATTTTGTCTTGTAAGCGACACAAAGGGAAACAAATCCTCTTCACAGTGCCTATAGAGAAAAATCAAATAATCTAAATATACCGGAAAGTGCCCAGAGGACTATTTTAACATCGTGAAAATGGATCATATTTGTCGACGATCATTTCCTCGTGAGATGAAATAAAATTGGCGAAAATCAGTTTGTAAGATTAGTTTAATTGAGACCGTCACCACTTCGTTAGATAAATATGAAACATAGAAACAGCGCTATATCACTTTAAAAACAAAGCAAATAACCTAAGAAATTTCATTTTCATGGAAGCGCAAGAGTAAAATGTCATGACGGAGAAAACAAAAAACAGTCGATGGCATAAACATTAAGCTTAGGTTTGCGGGTAATTCGCTTATCGTACACTGTTATAAATGGTCATTTAATCTCTCTTGGTCATCTACACTAATCAATAAACATTTTTGTAAAAAGTAATTGTTCTTCACATTTTTTCATGTTCTTCACATTTTTCTCGTTTTCTTTTCATTTTTAAAGCATATCGAAAGCATTTTCAAGCATATTTAAAGCATGTTTTCTTCAACTCTAGAGCTTGCCACACCCAAAATTTACATTGAAAACGACGCAGACGAGTTCTCACTTGGTGAAGGAAAGAATTTGACGTTTACCTACAACGTTACGTCTTATCCTGCTGCCGATATCTTTTGGTGGCGTTTAAAATATAAAGGATCCAACTGTCAGTTACTAACACGTTGTTTTGCCCATGAACAACACTGCGAATATCATGACGGACAAGAAAAAATTACAAGAAACAAGTTCGAAGTAAAGTTTGTCAGATTCCCTGATGACAGTTTAACTTATCAGATAAAAGCTGGCAATGTAAAAGGAAATGAGATTAAGAAGATTTCAATAAAAAAACTAGGTCAGTCCTGTTTCATTTACAAAGAATATAAAACTGAAATTTTAGCGTAAAAAACATTTGCATACAAACGAAAGGCAAATAAATGGCATTTGTACATTATGCGCCCTTGTGCGGCAAGCAAAACTCAGATTAGAAGGTCAACTTTTAATTCGATAACGGTTTCGACATTCCAAAGAAAAAATACCAAAAAAACATAGCTATTTAGGTTGTTTTTAAATGTATCATACTCAAAGATTAAGCTTGAGTCATGCATAATATAAAGATCAGTTTTCGTTTTTACATTTATTTTTTCAGTTGTACTTGAAATTGACATTAAAGACACAAAAAGATTTTTAAAGAAAGGATTTTCGGTCCTAAACTGTACGTTGAAGAAGAAATTTGACCTACAAGAAATAACCTTCAAATGGTACATGTGCCAATCTGATATCTGTCATGATCATAAGAACGAGATGGAATATATTTCATCAAACTATTCTTTAACAGTGAAGATAGAGGGCAGGTATCGCTGTACTGCCAACAATAGCGGTGAAATAAATACATCACCAATAATAACAGTTACAAAAGAATCCAAACCAACACCAACAGGTAAGCCTTTCATTAATATCGACCTTCTGTTTGTCGTTGAAATCTGTGCATCGGCACATTGTCTCACTTTATCTTCATTACGATTTCGTTGCCATACATATATCAAAGCAATTGTGTTAAATTAATGCAAAATTATCAAGACTTTCATAAAATTTTACAGTTGAACGAAAACCATTTCAACAAAAGAGTATAAGTACTGAGCAAGGTAATTTTATACAGTAGCATCAAAACCTATAATTTAAATAAAATCTTTATTGCTCGCAAACAACTGTTGATACATTTAACCACATCGTAAGTGACTTTTTATTTGTCAAGTTTCACATTTGTCAAGTGGCAATGGACAGAAGAAAAAAATGATGATGTTGGTCATACTTATAGGCATCCTCACTCTTGTCATTTTGCTCATTACTTCTTATGTATTGTACAAAAGGAAGAAAATTTACGGTGGTTTTTATCTCCTTTCTTATCCTCCATTGCCTGACTACATTGAAAAGATTGATATGAATGGAGATATACACGAGCAAATACAAAGTCTTCCATTCATACCAGAATGGGAGTTTCCAAGAGAAAGAATAAAATTCAGTAAGTTATTTTTGAACTTAATTTTATCTCACACTATGTCTGCATTTAGTCACATGTCTTGTTTTCAATAACTAAAAGTAATGGGCGTTGTTCTCATGAGCGACAACTTTTTTAAATTTATCATGTGATATACTCACATCTTTGTTCTGTAATATTGATGTTTTATGCAGTAAATGAACTTGGGTCTGGTGAATTTGGGGTGGTTTGGCTTGCAGAAGCAATCGGTATCTCAGCATTTCGTCCAAGAGACATCCTGAGAGAGAAAGGAAGTCGAAGAAGATTTTCATTTTTTAACAGAATGGTCAAAAGAAACAGTTACGTGTACAGCAGAGAAGTTACAAAAGTTGCTGTGAAGAAAATCAAAGGTTTCGCTGTTATAAACATTTCCATGAAGATTATTATTCATAATTCTATGTTTCATTGCATGGTTTTAATGAAAAATATACGATTGAGCAAACAGATAAAATTAATAAGTTTTGAATACAAGCAGAAGGAATTTACTTTTTTCCAGGTGGCATTTTTATATACAATTTAAAGACTTTGTGTATACGATACCCTGCCTGCAAGTTAAAACCTAGTAAAACTATTATTTGAAATATTATCAGTCTTTATAATTATATGGCAAGTTGGGTTTTGCAAAAAAGGTCAGTTTTCTTTTGTTGATCGTAAGCATATATCAACATTTAAGATTAATAACCTTGATAGCCAAGTCTCAGTTTTTAATTTAATGATTTTCCTTTAGATGATGGGGATCGAAACAAACTCATTGATTTGCAGTCAGAGTTGAAAATATTGATTCATGTTGGCGAAAATGAAAACATTGTAAACATATTAGGAGCTTGTACAAAAGGTTGTTTATATTTTAAAGCGGGGTATTTGTTGAGCACTAATAACCATTCACACTTTTGAGGCTGATTATTGAACTAAACAATAATGGGAAAAATATACGTTCATTTCCTAAATGGAGTGAAGTTACGTAATTTAAGTAAAGAATTATGATTGGAAAATGAAAAGTCATGTTCACACATGAGAAAGTTCCTTCACATAATGGCTTAAAAAATATCCCAACGAATAACGATGTGACGAAAAGAACTTAGAGAGTTGCCTTTTTTGGGGAAACCTACATGTATGTGCATCCGCTGAGAAAGATTTTTGCGTTAAATTATTTGATTATAGGTGAAAGAACAAGTTTGTGTATCATTACGGAGTTCTGTGAACACGGAAATCTTCGTCAATTTCTCCGTGACAGTCGAAACAGATACAATCAAGACAAGGAATACCTGATGAACGATTTATCACTAGATTTTGGACCACAAAATCTGATTCAATGGGCGTATCATATTATACAAGGCATGGAATTCTTAATATCCAGGAAGGTATAATAATATAAACCTACACCTGGGCAAGGAGGTGTATTGTAGGTATGATAGCTTTGTATGTATATATTGTGTTAATGATGGAGTAGAACGGACAAATAGCGATAGCTTAAAGGAAGAGAAAAGAAATGAGCAAAATCACGCGAGAGATTTTTGAACAAAGACGAACGTGCCAGTTTATATTTCTGGGTTCTTCAACTGTACAATTCTAAGCTTAAGATTTTCATTTGCAAGCATTAGCAAACTTAAAGATAAAGGCTCAATCGAAGTCAAGTTGTCGAATACTCGTTTAAAGATAGTTTTTGTTCGTCTCTATGGGTGTTAAATAAGATTTTTGTTGCTTTGCTTGAAATTTATTAGATGTACATAACGTACTGCGTGACCGTTGAAAATAAGACAACATAAAATAACTAACAAAACACTACAGGTTTTCACTACAGAGTTCAACTGAAAGAGTTTACAGAGAATTTTATTTCAATACACGAATTTTCAAAACACATTTGTTTTGTTAAACTAATAGATCATTCACCGGGACCTAGCTGCTCGTAACATTCTACTTGGTACAGGTTACATAGCCAAAGTTGGAGACTTTGGCTTGGCAAGAGATATTTACAAGTATCAAGTTTACACGAAGAACACACCGGTTAGTGCTTGCATTTGAATCACTAGCTTTTTGTGCGATCTTTTTGGCATTATTCTTCAGTTCATGATAACAACCCTTGATGATAGGGATTACTTCCTTTGAAGTGGATGGCAATTGAGTCAATCAAGGATTCTGTTTACACGGAGAAGTCTGATATGTATGATTTGCTTATATAAAATGTCATATATTTTCACTTTTTTAAGTTTACTAACAATTCTACATAATTGATTTAGGTGGTCGTTTGGAGTAGTTTTATTTGAACTGTTTACCTAGGTAAGCTTCTATAAACACGTAAGAAAAATAACGACAAATAGGAAAATTAATAATGACTGATGATGGAAACTAGTGAAACTCTTAAGGGCGATTACAACTAAAACAAAAATTTGTATGCTGAGCGTACAAGAGGGGTAGCCTGGCGTACTTGTTTTCATCCCCTCATAAATAGGCTTGCCACAAAACAAAACAGTGGCGACGTCCTGAAGAAATTTCACAAATTTAAAAGATTAACTCAATGTTCAACGATTTATCTTTGAAACGTTTTGTGAGGAGAGTCGTTCACTCACGAGAAATCGAACGCATGTTTACTTTCCTAAGTATTGAAAATATTGACAATACAATATTGTCAATATATAAGTGGAAACCAAACAGATCGTTTTAAGAAACCCACAACCCTTAGTTGTATATACTATTTATTTGAAAATCGATGCGACTTTTCTTCTTGATTCAAGACATCTTTAGATGAAGAGATTATGATATAGGATGTATATACAAAATGAGATTTAAA